CACCGCGCCCGCCTACGGTACTCATGCAGCAGAAGGGGGCTCGAGCGTGGACAAGACACGTCTGAGGCCACCCAGTCCCCTTAAGCCGTAGACCTGCTGGGAGCCCAGGCGTGGGACCCAAGGCCTGTCCGGCTGCGTGATGCCCCTGTTGGGCCTGCGGCTCCCAATCTGCTGTCGCTCGTATGTAGCTGCAGGGCTTCCTTCCTTCCACTCGAGACCAAGGGCTTTCTCCCCCGCGTTCTCACTACCTCTCTAAGTCACAGTCCTATAAGGGTTACTCTCAAGGGGTGATTCAGGGCATTTTCAGGACGCAGAAAAGAGCTCTGCTAACACCACGTTTCCCAAAAGAAGACGGCAAAATCCAAGCCCTGCACGATCTGGCTTCAACCTCCCAGGACAACTAATTCCCACAAGGGCATCCTCGAGGCCTGGGGACTGCTGCACCCCCTGCCCAGGGCCTCACGCCCACCTCCGAGTGCGCGTCCGGCTGGACCCCCCGGCCGGCTGGCCCCAACCATCAGGACCCACGCTGCGGCGCTCTCTGGATGCCCCGGCTGCGCGACGTCCACTTCCCCCGCCAGGCTCCTTCAGGACATAGACGTCCCTGCGTCCCTCCCTTCCTTCCTGTGCTAGGGCCCAACTCAGATGTTCCGAAAGCTCAAAACGGGACCTCTGGACAAATAACAGTACGAAAGGAAGGAGGGAGGGAAGAGACAGTGGGAGGGAGGGGAGGAGGACGGAGGAGGGAGGGGCGCAGGGATCCAGGGCAGATGAGGTGACTCTCCATCACCGGGCTCTGGACTGGCAACCTCCTGCTGCCTCGGGAAGACCCTGCAGCCACCAGCCCACAATCAGGTGCTCTTTCTTGGAGGGGGAGCCCCCCCCCCCTCGGGTCATCACAAAGGGACTCGGCCGACTACTCATCATGGACCCCAGGGAGCACCCAGCCTGACCATGCCGACTCCAAGCCCTCTCCCAGACCAGGGGCAATGCCCGGCTGGGCGCATGTCCCAGCAGCAGCTCCGCCCTCTCGCAGCCACTCTGGGTCTCTTGGCCTCCTTTTTAAAGCTAGAGAACTAGACCCAGAGGACAGAACTGGTGAGCAGAGATAAGTCACAGCCAGGTAAAGCCCTGGTTGGTGCCCGGCACACAGCAGGTGCCCAATAAGTGCTCAGCCCTTTGCCCAACAATCCCGGGATGTCCAAGGAAACTCAGCCAGGGCTGCATGCTGGGTAGAGAAGCACAAGAGTAGGGGCGTCCCTCCCCTGCCCCGTCCCTCCCCTCTCTCCTAACCACAGAGATGGGGAGGCCACGAGCTGCTGTGTAGAGCCAGGAAGGAGAACCCAGCCCCAAGCCCTCCTCCCTCGGGGCAGCGCAACACCGTGGCTGAGAAAACAGGCTCGTGGAAACGTAGCAACCACCCTGCGCCTCGGCTTTCCCACCTGTGAAACGGGATACTGGCTCTTCCATCTCAAGGTCGCAGGGAGGGTGAAAGACCATGATTATAAAGTGCTCAACGTGCTGACTTGGAAACAGAGCTGTTTTGCGGTTGGTCTGCCCCTTATTCCCCCTCCTGCACCTTCTGGGCCTGCAGATGCCTCTCTGGACACAGACCCCTGAGGCCTCGAAGTGGAAGGGGCGCTCCCTGGGGAGCCCGCCAAGGGGGCGTCCTCTGTGAATGTGCCCAGGATCTTTACCTTTGAGAACCTTCATGAGAACGCAGGATGGGGCAAGGTGGGAGTGCACCAACCACGAAGAAAGGGTGGAAAACCCAAAAGATTAGGAAAAGTTAAGGAGACTCCTCAAAAACTCTGGATGAGCCACTTAAAATCAATAAAAAGCCAACTTGTGAACCATCTTATCTCCTTGTCACGGGGTGTCCTTCTGGGCCTCAAACAGATTACAGGAGAGCTATTCTATGCCTGAGGGAAGCACGCACGTGCCTTAAAGGTTTTCCTGATTTCAGACAAATTTCTCTTGTTTTAGATGCATGCACTTTTTTATATTCAAGACAGATAAAAGGCAAAGGTGGAACAGGGCAGGGTGCTTCTGCCCCAAGAAGCAGCACCCCAAGAATCAAAACTATCTGGAGGGCTTCCCTGGTGGTGCGGTGGTTGAGAGTCCGCCTGCCGATGCAGGGGACACGGGTTCGTGCCCCGGTCCGGGAGGACCCCACATGCCGCGGAGCGGCTGGGCCCGTGAGCCATGGCCACTGGGCCTGCGCGTCCGGAGCCTGTGCTCCACAACGGAAGAGGCCACAACAGTGAGAGGCCCGCGTACCGCAAAAAAAAAAAAAACTATCTGGAGAAATCACTGTTTCAGTCATAAACCAAGCTGCAATACACTAACGGTATTTCCCACCTAGGCCACTAACAATAAATAAACATTTTATGTCTATGCCCAGCCCTGGAAGGCCTAGGTCACGTTAAGACTGCACACTGTGCTCAGGTAACTGGAACCCTGGGAAGCGCAGTGGCTGAGCTAGGACTGTAATTTCAACAGTGCACACAGCAAGCGGCTCTACCAATTTATTCTGTTCCTTTTATTAAAATAGGTTTGCTCAGAAAATTAACCAACTGCCTTAAGGTAAAGGCTACTTTCCATTCTTCCCTCAGGTTTTCTCGGGGCAGGGGTAGGGTGGGAGGCGGCTTTCATGTCCTTGCTTTAAGATGAACTTGGTTTTACCTTTCCAGGTATGATTACTGGCAGCAGAGGCAAGGCCGTGACACTCACCATGATGTCCCCTTTCAGGAGCTGGGCTGGCTCTATGGCGATATAGATCCTGCTTTGGTTTTCTGGGCCGACGTTGCTTTGGAATAAATGAGAAGGTACATCATTACGCGATTTCATGATTTAATGGAAAGAATACATTTTGAGAAAAGCAACCCCACAATTGAAATTAGACAAAATATCCTGCTTGGCCCAGGAATCCAATTCCTCAGACTCTCTCCTATGAAAATGAGTCCAAAGAACGTATGAAAAACCAACAGGGCCAGGCAGGGCCCTGAGAGCAACGTCACAGCCAGTGCCCGCCGGCCCGCCCCAGGCCCGTGCACGATGGAGCGCACAGCGTACAGTACTGGCGTGCTGATGCCAGCAGCCTCTGTGGTCAGCAGAGGGTGAGGCTGCCCAAGCTTCACCGGTGCCTGGGCCCAACAGGGGTCCGGACACGTGATAACAGTTCATTCTGAGTGATGACACGATGCTAAGAACATTTTTTACCTTTATTCATTTTCCATTGATGTGCATAAAACGCTTCTCCAAACAAAAAAAGCAAAGCAAATAAGTCTAGAATTAGTACATATTCTGGAAACGTCTGCCTGACCTTTGTCTAAACTGCAAAGGGGAGAGAAAAGGAGACCACCGTGGCCCTGTCCCAAGACCCCGATGTGTTTACTTCCACACGGTGTGCGGGGCCCTCTCCTTCCCCCAGGTCCCAGCGTCCACGTCCCTTCACAGAGCCAACTGTGTGACCGCGAGACACCTGCTGGGCAGGATGACGGGGGCACCGCACCCACGGCTCCCCTTCTGTCCCCTGCTCTTGGCTCACCTGGTTTCCCCCCACCCCCACCCCTCCAGAGGGAGAGGCAGCCGGGAGCGGGCCCCCTCCCCCCCGGGCCCTCCGGAGGCCCCCAGGAAAGCAGCCACACTTACTAGATCCCCGACGTGTACATAGGCTGCATGGCTTGGTAGAGCTTGAGAAAGGGCCGGCAGGCTGAAAGACACGCAGAATCGGCTATCAACACGCGGAACCGAGGGCCAGCGCCAGGCGGCGCGTCTTGAGACCCTCACCCCGTGGGAGATACTCACCTCCGCCAGAGTCGAAGTTGGGGGTCCCATGCAGGATGACGAAATGCAGGAACAGGGGCGAGGCGTTCATCTTCACCGTTCCCGACAGGAGCCCGCTGAGGAACTGCACGTACCTGCAAAGGGCAGCCAGCTCAGGGCTCCTGCACAGCTCCTGAGCCCAGGTGGGGCCGGAAGGCAATGAGGAAACCCGCCTGCTCTTCCAGGGGTTCTGGGGGAGAACCCATCCTAACCGCTCACAGCAAGGAGGGTGTACGCACCCCAGGCCTTGGCCCACGCTCCGCAGAGCATGGCCGAGCCCACAGCCCACCGAGCATCTCTGGGCCTTCCACGCTGACGATGGCCAATGACCTGGAAGCACAGCCAAGGGTGCTTCCTGAGAGTGAGCCCTCACACGCGGCACCTCTTGCTCTGTACCCCGAGTGCAGGTGGCATCGCTTCTGTCCATGGAACCCACAGCCAGGCAGGGCTGGGCCACGGGGCTGGCATGGTTTCCTCACAGAGAACGGGAAAGCAAGAGACCTGCCATCCCATGGGCGTGCTCTCTGAACCAAACCACACCTCTGAGGGCATGAAGGTCACTCAGCTTAACTCTCAGTCCTACCCACCCCGCCTTCTGCTCATACTAGGAAGTCTAGTGGGAGGCTGGAGTCCACACCCCCAGCCCACAGGAAGCCTTCAGATGCCACATCCCACTGTGAGAGCCTCCCCTACCATAAAGGGCACGAGCCCCCCTGAGCTGCACTGCCCTCCCGTCTTCTGGCTTCTCTGTGCCCTCCCTCCTCAAGGCCCATCTCAGCGGCAGAGTGCACGTCTGCCGTGTACCAGGAGACCCTGCCTTCTCTCTGAACACCACACACAGCCTTGCGCGCCATGCTGACGGCCCCACACCCTGCGTGGGTGCTTGGCGGCCTAGAGAGAAGATTGTACCCTGGAAGCATTGCCTCACTGGTTCCTCCCGGGGCACAAGGTGGCAGCTGTGACCCCAAGTGGGCACACACCTGCCAAGCTCTCAGATGCTCCCTGGCCTCGGCCTCTGCCGCCACCTGGAGTGTGTGACTCCGGAGCAGAGCCAAACCCTACCATATCCAACATCTCTGTGCATCTCTAATGACTACAGAGCCGCGCAGGCGCAGGAAGGAAGCATTCACGGAATCACCAGTCCATGCGGCCAGCACAGGGTCCTCTATACCCTCCAGCCAGCCCACCGCAGTCCACCCCCCTAGGAGGACCAGGGACCACCCGCCTCCTCCCTAGGACTGAACACTAGTCAGGCTCAGCCTACTTAGGTTAAAAAAATTCTGGTTTTCTCTCTCTGGCTTATTTCACTTAGCATAATGTCCCCAAGGTCCATCCATATTGTCACAAATGGCAGAATTTCATTATATTTTATGGCTCAGTAATACTCCACTGTGTGTGTGTATACACACACACACACACGCACACACACGCACACACACACACACATTTTCTTTAACCATTCATCCACTGAGGGACACTTGAGTTGTTTCCATATCTTGGCTATTGTGAACAAGGCCACATACAATAAACATAGGAGTACAGATATCTATCTCTTCAAGAGCCTGTTTTCATTTCCTTCGGATATATACCCAGAAGTGGAATTGCTGGGTCATATGGTAGTTCTATTTTTAATGTTTTAAGGAACCTCCGTACTGTTCTCCATAGTTGCTGCACCAATTTACATCCTCACCAAGAGTGCACAAAGGCTCTTTTCTCTCCATGTTCTCGTAACCCCTTGTTTTTTCTTGTCTTTTTTTTTT